TATTGTAGCTTGCGCGAGACGGGACGGGAGAGCCCCCCCCCAACGAGCACCTCGGGCGAATGGCTCCATTCAGCTGAAAGTAGCCTGAGGACGGGATCAGCAGTCAGGCCAGGGCTGTAAGGTGCTCATGTTTTTTCTCAAGCCCTTAACAGTAGTACAAGGTCGGCGGGTTCCCTTCGGTGGCATTGCCTGTGTGCGTGCGGCCTTAACGCGGCAGTAGGGACCGATATCAGCAGTGCCAGCAACTCGTCAAGCTTGTTGCCGCTCATTTAAATACAAACCGCTGTGTGTGTGTCTGCGCACTCGGTTGCTACTACTGCTGCAGTCTTTTATGCATGCGAGAAGAAAAGGTGACTGATACCGGATAAATTCGAGCGGTTGTAGCGGCGCTCCGTGTCACTACATGGCAACAGGCAACAACTGCCAGCCCGTGGTACACACCTACAACAGACAGCAGCGCGGAATCAAACCGGGGACTGCTGTGCGATCTGTCCCTAGATGATTGGTGAGAGACAGCGGATGATGTGTTGCTAAAACAAACAAGAACGATTCCGGACAAGCAACACTACTGTAGTCCCCAAGAGGGGAGCTGCTGTAGCGGAGCTTCAAGCACCAAAAACATTTTACGTAAACATGCACACAGGGGGACACATGCAAATGTCATTCACCCACACCCTTCACTGGCCGAAAATATCCCACGCAGGGAAATAAAAGGATAAAAGGCTACGCCTGGAACCGGTTTCTTGCTCCACTACAGCGCCGGAACTTAACCCCTTCATCTTGCAACTAGTTGATTTACAATCAAAGCAATTCAGGTACTCCTGAACATAAGTTATTCTGCTTGGCAGGGGCATGAAACCGGCTCATAACCCTAACCCCAAACCCAGCCGATATAGGATAGGTTGGCGCTTGTTGGCTAGGTTCTGGGTTGGTGTGCCGGTATTGGCGCTAGGTTGGTGTTGATGAGAGAATATCTAGGTTGTTATTGCTTGGATAGGTGCTAGGTTGGCGTTGATGCGATAAATCATGTAGGTTGTTACAGCTTGGACAGGTGCTAGGTTGGTTCCTGACGTGGGTAGGTGCTAGGTTGGTGGTGCTAGGAGTAGGCTTAGGTCGCTCTTGGATGATAAACGGTGCTCGTGCAGGTCTGTAATGGCGGGACTTCCAAGTGTGGGTGCACGGCATATGTGCGTCCCCCTGGGTGCATCGAATATTGTTTGAGAAGAGAATAGAGTTCCCTATGGTTGACACAGGGAACTGGGAATATTGTTTGAGAAGAGAATAGAGAGTTAGTTCCCCATGGTTGACAAAGGGACCTGAGCAAGCGGCCCAAGCTGCGGGATAAAACGCTTACGACTGCACGGAAGACGATTTATCTATGTCGGCAAAGGCACACCTGTGCCACCCTTGTCTCGAGTTTGCCGAGCCACACCTCCGCCCTGTCTACCACGCGGAGGTCACAGAGGCCCCCATATTGTTTTGTAAATGGATTGTTGTTGCCACGTTTATGTGCATCGTCCGTCTCTCTCTCTCTCTCTCTCTCTCTCTCTCTCTCTCTCTGGCTCTGTCTCTGTCTCTGTCTCTGCCCCCCCCCCCCAGTCTCTCTTTCTCTCTCTCTGTCTCTCCATCTGTCTCTCTCTCTCTCTCTCTTTATTCTCTCCGTGTCTCGATGTGCCTGTCTGTCGAATCTCTCTAGATATTGCTCCCTCGGTCTTGACATTGGACAATAGTTAACTTGTTCGGGACTACCAGAAAACAGGGCTGCAGAGAAAATGTCGGACGATGCTGCTGCTGTAGAGCACGCCGTGCAAAGATGTCGGGGGGAAGCACCTTTTGCTTTTTTCTTGGTTGCCGAAACGAAGAGAAAGAGAGGCAGCTAGCTCTCCACAACACGGCCGACGTCCCCATACCGGCTTTGAAGGACATCCGGTAACTACACGTCTTGGGGTACTTATCGGCTCCTTGATGACATGTGTGAATTTCCCCTCTTCCTCGGCCCGCATTTCTGAGCACCGAACGCCTCGCGTACAAGTAGGCCCCGTACATGGAAACCTCTGGTGTTGGAGGAGTTGGGGTTCTTGGTTCCTAGCCACTGAGTACTTTTTTCTGCTGTAGTAGCGGTCATGAACCGAGCTCACAAAACGGTACTCAGGTTCTCACTGTAGATTTTGAGTCTAAATCTTTTAGAAGCCGAAATTAAAATACATTGCTCTGAATACTCAGCGCTGACTAGTCTGATGGTTTGATGTGGACTTCTCTTAGCTAAATTTCTCAACGGACATGTTTTGAAGTGTGCGCGCTATCTGGATTTATTCTGCGGTACGAAGTAGTTTGTTTTCGGTAGTCTGACGAACTGCAAGCAGCCAAATTCTCGGCCCAAACAGGATCCTGAGACTGCTGGGGTGCATTTATTTTTTAATCGTCCACCGTCATTATCACACACAACACGCGGGGGTGAAAATAATAACAACGAGTTCAAGGGATTCAAGGGCTGCTGGCCTATCAAAACTAATATTGCAACCAATCAACATGTTGTGCGGGCCACGAAGAGTCTTCGGCTCAACAAACAGTGAGATTGGGAGGTGATGCCGCTGTGCGTGCCACCGTTCCTTGGCGTGCCCATCGCCCCAAAATTGCAACCAACAGGCGCTCGGGCACACCAGGGCATTGCGCGGGGGAGGACCGCTGGGGGGATCGTGGGGCATTGTGGCGGAATAGCACCGGAGGGGGGGAGGGGCGGAGCGCGGAAGAAATCCTTTGAAGTAGAAAAGGCGGGGGTGCGAGGGAGGCATGCGGCCTCTGGCTGGGTCTACGCCACTGCTGCTGGTTCTGGGCCTACTAAAATGCGCGGTGAGATGGGGCGATGCGGGGCAATCGGTTCGGCGGTGATGCAAGGGTGCGGCCGGTGATGTCCATGTCTATTATTTCGTAGTAGTTCGATTCATGTTTGTGGTTACAACAGGGTTAGGGTGAACCTATGTAGTCTGTTTCTTTCTTGGATGATCTACCGTATACGACACAAGATAACACACCCCCTGGACCAATTTTCAAAGCTCGATTACTCCATGACGAAGAGAATGCATAAACGAAACGATACGTTTTCGGAGAGCTCTCGACCAGACGACTTCAACGCCGCCGTTTTCGGCGATTTGACTCTTTCTGCTGTTGATAAATCCAGCTTTGAAAATCAGTCCAAGGGGTGTGTTATCTTGTGTCGTATGCGGTATCTCCGTGGAGAGTGCCACACGCCGGAACCTGTCGCTCCCAGGGCACTGTTTTGGTCACACGTCTAGCCAATAAGAGGGAAGACTCTCTGTCAAACTCTTACTTCTCGCGGTAATATATTCATAGGCAAGCACCGCAGGGGGGAGGGGGTACAACAAGGGCAATTGTTCTTGTGCTGCCATTCTCTTGTCTGTGTGTCCCGGGCTACATCTTGTATGGTTTGCCGAAACGAATACAGTGGGGGGCCCGGTTTTGCGACCCCTAGTGTCACAGCGAAAGGTGGCCGCTGTTCAGGGCAGGTTGCTAAACCGAACTACCAATTATGTAGCAGTTATTGTGCATGTACCGGGGTGCGGCGGTGCTACGTGATTTTCTGGTCGCTAATACCGACTCCCTACTGAAGTAGATATACTGGCACCCGGAGTTAATGGGACGACAAAGCAACACACACGCGCGCGCGTGCAGATCTCGTCGCGGGCTACCGTTAACCTCTCTCCCATGACACATCCTCATGGAGTCCCGGATCATGGACTTTAGATTCGCTTCAGCCGCACTGAGACTGACTGGCGTATTTTCATTGGTCAGGCGGGTAGCGCTGTCGATGCTAATAACAGAGACGCACGCGTTTCCTTCATCGGGAAGATACCGTGGGCGCTACATGCACGATTTCCGCTCTGGTTGAGTGCACTTGCCGTGTCATCTAATCCGCCTTTGTGGGCGGCGATCGTGGCAGGTGTCTCGAGATGACGCGATGATTACGGGGGGGCATTGGAAGGAGTACCTCACAAGCGAGAAGGGAAATGCCTGGTTCGAACCTTGGTGGGCAAACTACCAGCTAGCTCGGCCGTTGTTGTTGTTGTTGTTGTTGTTGGTGGTGTCTCGACTGTCGAAATTCGTGCCGATGATGGCCATGAGGATGGTGTTGGAGGGAGTGATAACAACGATGTTGGTGGTGGCTTGTAGCGGTGTGTTGTCGCTTGTCTTTCACGTTGTTTTCGAAATTAATTCCAATGATGATGATGATGTTGGGAGAGGCGATACCGACGGTGGTGATGAGGTGATTCTGATGGCCTTGTTTTCGTGTTTGTCGCCGCTAAAATCCGCACCAATGGTGATGTTTGATAGTGTAACTCCTCCGGTGGTCGTTGGAGGAAGAGGCGATACCGATGACGATGCTGATGTGGTGGTTGTCTGTCGTTGTTGAAGCTCGAACCGGTGGTTATGCCTCTACGCCTTCTGCTGTCGTTGGAGGAGACATCGAAAACGATGTCCTGTTGAGGTGATGGCGATGCCGATGGTGCTGTTGCTGGAGATGATCGCGAGGACGAAAAAGGGACTCGGAATCAATAGTCTCCGTTTCCAGTACATTGTACCACAACCAACCGCAGGAACATCCATTTAGCAACACATGTGTCTGGCGGAAGTGGACTTGCCATGATTGCCGCTTGTCAAAACCCTTGTACGTTGGTATGCACGTACAGTGTGTGGTTGACTAGTACGCAGTAAAAGGCTCCCCTTCAATGTGTACGGTGGCTTGCCTCGCGGGCGCGGCGCAAGATGGCATGGTCAAGGTTTTTTCACAGGACGTTGTCCTCTGAACTTTCCTAGGAAGCGTTCACATAATGCCAACTGCTTAGCGTGCACACACACACAACATGTCCGTTTCCAGGAACCACGTGATGCAGGCCAAGCTCGACGTGCTCGCCTCCATTGTGGAGAGCCAACAGGGGAGCAGCAGCAGCAGCAGCAGTAGCGAGAAGCCCTTCCGTGTCCTGATGGTCGGGGATAGCACGATGAGCCACCAGTACGGGGCGATCTGCGGCTTCATGGGCGAGAGAGAGGGGCGACGATATGACCCCGAGGTGTGTGTGTGTGTGTGTGTGTGTTTTATGTTATTTTATTTTAGCGTCGACCGCGCTGACCAATGAAAAGACGTCAGCGCCAGCGGATGAAATCAAGGTCCCTGGGAGGGGGCCAGAATTCGAAAAATGTGCAATGTTGCGCTGAATGCGAATGCCCAAATGGATCTCTCTGCAATTCCTTTCACAGACACACGTGTGTGTTGTGCGTGCACAGCTTTTGTTGTTGGCATTGACCGCGCTACCCGGCCGATCAATGAAGAGATGACAAAGCGCTTCCAATGGCCATGATCTGGGACACCGTGAGGGGGCGCAGTCAACATCTCATCTACCGAGATTGCCGCCCAGTCTAACGTAGTGTTCTCGTTCAGGCGTTTCGTGGTCATGCCGGGGGCACGCAGAACGCTCTTTCTCTCCCTCGGGACGGCGCCCTCACTTCAACGTCGGCGGTGGATGCCTTCGACATTTTTTCTCAATTTCGATGTCGTATTGCCATATTGTCGTTTTGCAGGCGCAGGTCAGCTTGATTTGGCCTACGTTGGTGGTCTTGAATATTTCCTTAGAACCCGGGCATCGCGTGTTGCGTGTGTTTTCTGCACTCTTAAAATACGCTGTTGTTTCTCCTTTTTCGCCTTTGTCTACTGCACTCTCAAGAAAGCGCTTTGTTGCGTGTGTTCAGTTCACCTCATCCTTAGAAGCCGCTATAGTACAATCCTTGTTGCGTGTGTCCACTTCACCCCCTTTATCCAGAAAGCGCAACACGGATCCCCCGGTTGCTGCATGGACACGTTGCCCAAAGAGGACGAGGGAGAAGGAGGAGGAGGGCGGGGGCTCTGCTTCGAGTTCGACCAGTTCCGCTTCCTTGACCCCAAGCGAGCGGCCAGGACGTCGGTGGACGCCTACTACTTCGGCAGCGGTCTCCACCTGCTGCACATGTACCCCCACTGGCCGGAGATGTACCCCATGGAACCGCTGCGAGTGCAATCGTGAGACATTCGGGTTATACGGTTAGGGTTGTTAGGGCTAGGGCTGGGGTTGTTAGGGTTAGGGCTGGGGTTGTTAGGGCTAGGGACAGACCGTTGTGTTTCTGAACCAAGCTCGTGTAGTATGTTGCGATGAGTGTGCTGTCACAAGGAGTCTTCTGGAAATTGGAGTATTCCGTTCTCTATGCGAAGCGTTATTTCGACCGTTCTATGTTACCTGGAGAGTTGCCTATTTTGGTGCCTCCGCGCCGCGAGCGCCCCCCCCCCCCCCCACCCCCCCCACCCCTTCGTTTTTTTTGGTTTTTTCCCCAAACCCCCTGAAAATTTTATTATTTAAAGAGGGGGTTTTTGCGAAAAAAAAAAAATAAGGGGCCTTGAAACCCTGCCCATCGGGGGGCCAAAAATTATTTATTCCCTGTTAGGCCCGGGTCCACCTTTAAAAAAAAAAGGAAGGTCCCGGGGGGGGGAAAAACCCTTAATACCACT